AAATGATTTAATCTCACAATTTATATTACAGAATTCCTCATATCTTTCCGCAACACGATCATATTCTTCTAACTACACCAACAGAATATTGAGTAGAAATTATCGCAAAGAAAGACTGCCTGAGCCTTGGAAATCATGGAACTAAGTGTAATCAATGCGGCAAAAACCCATTAAGTTTTTAATCCATACTCCGTCCTAATCACCAGGACTCAAGATGGTGAAGTCTAACTATATATTGGGTAAATGATATCCCAAGGTTGTTTACCAATACTTGGCAAGTCGAGGTTGAGCCAAGATTATTGGGCCAGTTGTCGATTGCGGTCTGTCGTGTCAGTAACATCGAATAACAACCCAGAGGAATCGTAAAAAAACGAATGAGAAAACAAAACAGTAAAATGAAGACCCAATGTAGTAAAATTCAGTGGAATATTCGAAATAGAGGGCAGTTTCGCATTGGTCCAACCGACAATCCTAATCATTGTTCAACCGTAAACGTTTGAATCTCTTACACCACACTTCCTATCTCTACAGCTGTATTACGACCTGACGCCATAAACGAACCGTAAAACTGGTGTACAAAAGCGACAAAACTACTCCGACGGAGCAGCAAATGTTGTCAATTTTATTACTTTTCGTCTATACCCATGTATATTGGGATGAGAATCGATCAGCCACCGCCATTTTGATAGCAAAACGAAGAGTATAAATTCCCTATCGAATGCAAAGTTTCTAAACCAAGAAGTAGGTTTTTGGATCAGCAGTCTCTTCGACTTGGTGGAAATCCAAACTATATCGAATTTCAACTGTCACATCATTGAGTCAAAATCAAAATTCAAAGACGATAAAATACGAGTGCATGGGCTTTTTATCCTAAAGAAGTCTTCAGCTATAGTAAAAATTATATTTTCACAAACCCTAATATTCGTAAACGTCAATAACGAAAAACGCGTACCACATAACATCTAACGGAAATTGCATTTGATAAATAGATATCAGCTTTTAATTTATTTCTAATTTTCGTAAAACTTTCCTGAGAGCAATCATTTTATTGATATGGAAAAAATATGTAGCATGTATATATCTTCGAGAGAGCTTTTCGGAATAGACAAGAATATGTTGTTTCCTGGCGTTCGCATTACCGGGTATGCCATCGTTGAGCATTGGAGTCATTGAAAAAGATTTATGCTTGCACTTACCGGCCGATTCTCTCTGTACGGAAGAGCATGATCTTACTCGTGCACTTGGGCATGTACCGCACCCCTTTCCACTTATTCCCCTCACAAACCCACTCTCACACCATTCCTTTAAAACGAAGCACATTAATGCGTATTCAACGGTTGTACAACCACTTACACGAAACATTACCACCACTTAGACTTTTTCAGGTCTTAAGTGGAACTCAAAGTACTTTTATACTGATCTTTTACAATGGCATTTACGGATAGCGTTTGACCGGAGATGAAGTAGCCTTTAAAGCTCGCCTGCCCATCGAGAATACAAATTCACTTTTCTAACGATCCCAATAAATTGATTCGAAACTAAACTTCGAATCTGGCAACCTAACAGAGAAGCCATTTTAGGATGCAGCCATACGCTTACATTTTTTAACCATTAGTTTTGATGTGAACGTTTCCTTCATCAATGCCCTTTGATGGAGTCTTAGATATAATACAAGAGGGGGTAAAAAAATATTGAATATTCCGTATAATTCATCGACGGATTTTCAACGACGATGCTCATTACTGCTCACTTTGCTAATGAAGAGCGAATTATAGTATTTCTATACGTCTCATTGCCATCAAATGAGAAAAGCACTGAAAACCATAGTACATATATAGTTCAAGTACATAACCAACTGACGAAAGGCAAATATACTCTTGCGTACAGGTCACGCACATGCTGCTCTATTAGCCAGTGAAAACTTCCGAGCATGCTACACTTATTCTCCAGTTGTTTCACCCAGTATTCATATACATTCGATAAGTTAGACATGTTCCATTCTGAAATCTAAATTTCTTTACAAAATTAATTAATTCAATAACGAAAGAATTACAAATATTGAATCTACAAAAAATTTCATTTCATTTCATTCCCCAATTTGAGACATGCTTTCATTATAAAGAAACGGTTCAACGCTTTTCCTTTCTTGACCCAAACGATTGGATCTTTCTTCCAGTTTTCTATTTTCTGAACCAATGAAAGCATAGCTCCAACGCTCCTAGTCATGCAACAACTCTTACCAATATATCAAGAGTAAATATTTACTGGGAGTGCTATTTTTTATTTAATCTAAGTATCTTTATATATTTATCTGTATGGGCACATTATTGAGACCCAAAATGAGTACAAAAAATTACTGCGTCCAGAGGAAAAACTGTAAAAGTTAAGGGTACATGGAGAGTTGCTGGAGAGTCTCTGTAGAGCAGTTAGCGTAGCCCCACAAGTTAATGAGGGAATGGCAGTCGAGGAAAATGGACGGGATGAACAAAAAAACCTATAAAGTTTTGTGATCAGTTAACTTAACCTTGCGCGTTGACGTACGCTTTGACACGCTTCTCCCTGCTGTTACCACTGGCACAGAAAAAAACATTTTTAGTGAGCAAGCAAAGGCTCCACGTTACAGAGTAAAGAGTACTTCATTTTTCTACTCAACCTTCTAATTTGCTTTGTTCTATATGCAAACCATAAAAGTCACGTAATGAAAAAGAGGAGCTATTTTTATTTCCTTTCCAAAAAATGGTGAACCATTACAATCCGATATTGTAATAGACTGGTACACGCTCAAAAGTAACGGTTCTATTTGCAATGATAAATAAGATTTTGTATGGAGTTCTTTGCAAATGTGGTAAGCATAAGGATTTTCACCTTTTATAAAAAAATAATTGGGACACTCATGAAAATCATGTGAAATAATAAATTTTTCTAATTTTCAATGCTTTTTTTGTCGTTTTTTTTAGCAATCATCAGAAATGGTTTGGGCTGCGTGCACGCAACCCTGTATAAATGCCAGTCACTCGACTTCACAAACTACCCTCATCTGTTTTATGCGAATCACCTTCGCAACGGCACACCCCTTCGACTTTTACGTCGACCCAACCACAAGTAAGTACATAAAACATAATTAATCAAGAGTGAAACATAATATTATGGAGTGTTAATTTTTTTTTTCCAACCAGGCTAGAATCACTTTTATTCTAATCTCTATACATTAGGCTGGTTAATTCAACAACAATTTTCAATTTTTGTCTGCGGCACTTATAAAACCAATGATTGATTGCATGGATAAGAGACCAGAGTTTTTTCTCTCTTCCTGTAGCGTTGTCGGGTCGACATACACAATTTAAAGTTTTTTTTAGAAGTCATTTTTTAAATGCTTTATTTAATCCTTGATCATAAAAGAGATTGACAATGAATGATTGATCATTTCCATGACTACGAGGATGTTATTTTGCGCTGCAGCGCTCACTTAGAGGTATGATTGCTAATTGTTTCTTCAATTTCATGCACGTGCTAATAATTTTGAACCTATCCTTAATACGTAACGTAATACGTAATAGAAATAGAAAGAATCATTTTATTCCTTTTTTCGTGGATATAAAATTATAGAAAATCCGAGTTGTATTTGGACCATAAAATCGCGATGATTAATTATAAGAACAAAAATGGGAAAATAGTATCGGAGCCAGCCTAATGTAGATTTTTATTACAACTCTCATGAAAAAAGAGTATGATGAAAATATGTGAGTTTTATATACACCATACATGGCCGATAAATACCGCCATAAAGGGCATGTACTTGCTATTTCTTACGCGGAGAAGTATGGAAAATTGGTTGAGGGCTCAATATCAATGGTATGTAAAGCATTATATGAATTAATATATCAGCGTATACGTTATATATGATATATGATATATATCGCTGCTTATTTACAGGTTACACAGCGGAATCTAAAAGACCGTGCGACAATACCAGGACAAACGGTTGGTACATAAATTTTATCCAATATTTAAGAATTTGTCGGATAGGTGAATAAGTGACCATTCGATGGCTGCTAAATTTTAAAAACCAATTTTATAAAAATTGCCACAATGTTCCCTAGCGGATTAATCAATGGTAAAAGAGGGAATTCGAATTCCACTGAGTGTTTGGTTTGGACAAACTATATCGATAATTTTCTCCAGCATACCCTCTATTGGTAAGGCGGTGCACATTTTCCAGAATTTCGCTCTTATCACCACGTGGACTATAGTCTACGGTCGGTAAGTTAACTGCATAAAGTCAATTGCGAAAATAATGCGAGAAGATAACAACACCTATGATAAGACTGAGCAAGATAACAAAATTTGCCCATTACCGTCAATAACGTTAGTAATAAAAATAATAAAAGTTAATGGTAATTTCATTACGACAATATTTATTATGGCTATATCCCCGATAATATTGTATGTCCTCTATCAATTCATCAGTACCTTCATTCGCGATTGGTGCACAGGACAGAGATTTAATGTGCACACTTATTTCATTTTTATATCAGAAAAATTATCCATGGCACTCTAGACTCCATCAATATTCTATCTGATTGAATCGTTATTCCATCGAAATTAAGTTCAAACCCTCAAGAGGATAATTGAATTTTCTCTCTGTTCTGTCTCTTAAGGACACAATAAAAAAAATAAATATTGTTTTCATTTTCAAGTGTATACGGAATAATCAAGTTTTTCAAGAATAATTGTTTTTGACAGATCGCCATTGATCTAAATACAATTTACGCAAATTAATTCTTAGAATGTCTAACCATTTAATGTCACTTTTCAATATCCCTTTTATAACGTTTATTGAATACGAGAGAAATCTAGTCGAAAAACTTGTTTAAAAAATCAAGTGGTTAATGAAGATTTAGAATAATAATCACTCATGAAATACACGAATTCCCTGATATGGTTTTTCATACGATAATTACTTGTTTTGAATGATTTATCATCATTCTCTATTCACATACCTGCAAAATGAATGTAAACGATGATCTTTGGTTCTCTAGCAGCCTCTGAAACATAAATGAGAATTTTCATCAATACTTGTAAATGAAAAACAATGGGTGTATTATGAATAAAGAATTAATTAAAGTGATCAGAGTAATGACAGTAAACCGGCCAACTGTCAACGCATACAAAATGTCGAATAAAAATTCGGAGCACTGTAAAAATATCTTAGCATCATATTGTTTACACTCAATAAGAGTGAAATGGAGTATATGCGTATGATGAATAAATGGCAAGCAAGATGATTACACAAGAATCATGAGCAAGTTGTACGAAATAATATTAAAATGCGGGGGCGGACGAGCCACGCGACTGCGACATCGTGAAAGAGGGAGGAAGAGAGAAGGGTGTTGGAGAAAGGAAAAGGGAGGAGAATCGAGACATATGACATTTTTATCCAAAAACGACTACCCCAAAATTTAAATTCATTGTCACTTCAATTGTGTAGTTGCACTTCTCGGTACGAATAGCAAAACATCGCGATCAATGACAGGATGAAAAAATAAACAAAATATCACTGCCGTGAATTGAGCGATCAGTCATATCATCTAATGACACTCACCGTTTTTATTTTTTAATTGTCTTCATGAGACTCTTCACCTTTAATGGAACCGAAAAAACATCACACAGCAATTATAAATTCACATATACGTTTTGAAATACTAATAATCACTATAAAATCTCGTGAAAAGAGTATAAAAATTCAATTGTTAGGAAAGTGACAAGAACATCACCATGGTACTGTAAGTTAGAGAGCGGCCATATTGAACTAACGAGTAAGTGCTGCCATCTGGGGCATGATTTATCAATATATTTTCGCGTCTGCTGTAATCATTGAAAACCCAAACAGAACTAAAATTGAATATTCCCCAATATTTCGTAAATATTACAACAATGACAATGCACTGCATAAATATTCGCTATATTCTCATGAGATTCTGAAGCTTTCCTTCAATCGGTCAGTAATGTACAGTAGATAATGCAGAACTCGCTATTCTCTTCTGTAAATATATTTACCGTTAGACAGCTTTTCACGATTTCTCGCCTGGGACTCGGGACTGCATACTTCCCGACCTCGAAAACTTGAAAATCACTACGGAAAAATAATATCCGAGCTGTTGGAATGGGTTTTGTTTAATACGCGGCTAATCGCACGAGTAAAAAGCGCCATTCCTAAACACAAAAAAAGTACAAAAAAAAGAGCAAAAAATTAGAATGTTCATTTTACACAATTTTTGCCTTATCCAACTCGTTGTTTTTCTCTTGATATCCTACAAAATAAAGACGGACCAGTGGATTTCATCCAATTAAGCTGATTATGCAGAACCGGTGTCCATAAAACTCTACCCTCTACTATGGTATTACAGCTACCATCAGCGGGTGTTGAGAGCTCTAAGGGATTGCCTCAAATGAATATTTCACATTAAAACTCCAGTTGCCTCATCGTTTCACCGACTTGAGCACTATAAATCTCACGCGCTGTAATTCACAAAATTGGGCATCAACAGTTAAAGTATTACCATAAATTTTTCATATCGCTCTCACAGTGAATGCCAATATAGTGATACCCCTGAAATCGAATCGCTATTATTAATCACCAAACTAACAAAATTAAAGTAACATTATCCATTAAACTGTTTAATGGTCTGTAAATGTGATATGTAACACACTGGCCGTGAGTTTTGATGTGAGGACATCATACATCACATAGTTGGCAACAGAATCCGGAATTCATTATTTCCTGAACACCGGATTGCCATATAGTGGCGATTGATGTACATATCTAGTTAGAATTCAGCGACTAGATGACCTCGAACCCCACCAAGTGTCGGATCAAACAAATTGCAAACATGGTACTAATGTAACATGCCCCATGGAGCCGAGAGCAATTTGTGTCCGTCCAGAGTTCAGTGAATCGAGTCTCATCGCATTCAAAGTCCACCCTCGGTTGGCAAACTTGTGCTAACCCCTCTGTTAAAGAGTCAACGAACTTCCTTAACGAACTATCGAAAGGAGAGTACTCCTTTCAATCCACGTCTGATGAAGTTGAAAGATCAAAGCCGTACCTATACACCTAACTCCAATAATTATAAATAAACATAATTAAACGAATAAGCTATGATACATCAACTATTCTAATCTTGCGTCGTCGACAACCAGCATAAAACAGCATTCGTAAAGCGAGTCGGATGAGAAGTTATTGGATGAAAAAAAAAACGGTCACAATCATCTATCTTGTAGATTTAATTCTCTGAATTATGGAACTTTAATCCGTGACACTATTCTATTTAATCGCTCTTCCCCCCTCCCTTCACCGGTGCAGTCCAATTGCGCGTCCTCATTAACGTGGCAATTCTGCGTCCGCTACATGTCGCATGGTGTACCTCACGTGCATACAAAATGCCAAGCGTGAGAACAGGAGTACAGTATACACGATGGTAGTACGGAAGAGAGAGTAGAGATGAGAGGATTGGTGGATAGGAAAGGGACAGGGGAGATCTAGAAATGTCTAGTGCAATTGCAGCGCAACGGGGTTGAAGTTGCATGTTCCAAGCAGTGTGTGGTCACACAGTACTACCGAAGCACGTTTAACGCGCCAGAGATATCTCTTCGTTTCATGCGCTTTGAATAAAATATATCGAGAGGTGTACGTTTCATTTTTTCCCTCTATATCACGTTACATCACGTCGTGTCCTCTTTTAAAATGAAAGAATCAAAAAATCAATACTGCCTTTCAAATTTTCATGATAATACCGTTTCCCTATTCATTCAGTTCCAATTACCACCGGCTAGAGCAACCAACAGCGCATGTTATATTAATTTTTATTTGTTTATTAGAGCGATTTTTTTTATGATTGGCACTCATCAATTTTTGTCAAAGATATAAAGTTCCTGAAAGTTGAAAAATTCAATCACCAAGTTCACGAAGATCAAAGAGCTAAGTTATCTTTCTAGGAATGGAATGAGAATTAAGAGAAAATCGAGTTGTATGAGAAGTAACCACAGGGTACTTGTAAAGGATCATCGTACGGTTGAACATGCTCTTCATTCTTTTTAATCTTTTTTCATACAATTTATGAACAGTGGCAGGTGGCATATGTCTACTCCTTCGAACGCGAAATTGGTCCATTCTCTCTGTTGGCCTTGCTATTCTGAACTTTTACAAGTGCTTGAGAATCGTGGGCGCAATCTACCAATGAAAGAAAGTCTGATTTCCCCCGGGATGAATCGTATTCAGAGCTCCAAATGCCTGTGCCCCACCTATGGCGATATTAGATCTATGTTAGAGCCATTTTTTATTTAACGTGAATAAACTTGAAATTCTTCTATTCATATTTATGTGCAGACATAAAAGCTAATAAAAAACAAAATGTATTCTAAATCAATTATGAAATATTAGGAAAGACCGAAAAAAGATTGTGGGAATATTAATCAGAATCGAGAAGATATATGCAATATTCTGTGTTTGGATAAAAAAATAACGATGTTCTATGTGGAAGACATACACTAAATCCAATTTAGACTAGTTGCTTTTATGGAGATTGTGGTACTAAAAGACAATGTTGGAAGCTTCGTCGTATCCTGGAGTGATACATGTTAATGCGCAAGACAAATCATAGACATAAAGTGCAGGAGAACCCAGATGAATCTTCAAACTTTTATGGACGTCAACTTAATCTTCCTAGTGTAAGTAGAAGATATATAAATACAATGTAAAGGGAAATATGAAGTTTCAATGACAATGTTCATCTAGTCTTAGCGTGAAAGTCTCAAAGAACTTGTCAATTCGCGATATATATATACTTTAAATTTCATGATGCACTCCTACAGTACAGTAAAATGAATAAATGAGACTGCATTATGGAAAACTTTCTTGTCTGTGACTGTGACAATAATCTCTCTCATGAATGTCAACTACAAAAAGCGAATGAGAAAATGCTGTACTTTCATGTACAGTATACTAATTATTTAGCGCTTTCGATCAATAATTTATTGAAGGCCTGCATTAAGCAGAATAATTGCACTTCCGAAATGGCAATTAGCGTGGACACGTATTCTCTCCTTTTTCCCCCAATTACAAATAAATTGCTGCAGAAAAATCGAATTAAAATGAATCCAATTGATGAGGATTTTCCAATCAAACATTATGCTTAACGATTTGCTCAACCATGACATACAATCATTAATGATTCCCATCACTAATCATAGTTACGTGTGATATATATATTTCAGGATGATCCCCGAAAAATTATTATACGTATACATATATTGTATATATACATGTACACATATTATTAGTCCATGCATTGGCAACGAAACCGAAGGAAACGAGAGACAGGCATGTTATGTGCCATGTGCAATAAGCTAGAAGAGAATGGGTAGATCGTTATGCGTCTGGTGACGGCATTTTCGCACTGGTTATTTGATAACAGTATTATCACTCTCGTTTGATTGGCTAATGGGCAATGTAGAGAGTACACGAGCAGATGTACCGCGTTAAATAGCCAATGTATTACATATTCCTGGATTTACACGAATAGATAATTGAACCATTTTTTCTCATCACGAATTTAATGTTATCCATTTCACGCACACTTCCGTTTGCATTGTCGATCATTTATTTTCGCATATTTTTTACGGGGCGCTATCATCAACATTTCATATTCATAAATCTTGTAAAAGATCTGCAATAACATTATCATGAGTCAATCAAATTTGTGCTAAATACGAGAAAATTCCGACAATGGCATATCGACTATCACTTCGTAGTAATATATTACCGAACAAGTGGGAAATGGACTTTTTGGCTCGTGGGAGCCCGACTAAATATTTAGCTCAGGTCCGTAATATTTTTTCCACGGAGCAATACTATGTGCGGTTGAAGGGCAGACCAAATTAGCACAATTTCAATTATTTGAATTCAGCTGATGTAAAATACGGATCAGGTTAAGTCCCACTTCAAGATATTGGCTGCCAAAGCCAGCTCTCTCCCTTTCCGCTCCTTCTAACTATTCTTTCCCTCTTTCTTTCATTCCCTTAGGCTATAATATTACTATGTACGCCGATTTCGTTTCTTCTCTGCTAAAAAGAACGAAAAAACGACCATCTGGACTGACGAAGGAATTGAGGAAGGACTGAAAATCCCTCTAATAAAATTTATCCATTGACGGTGCGAAAAGGGTGGCACACCGTGTGCTCTTTCAATACGCCTCTTCTTATTGCTCGATTCACCCCATTTTCTAAAAAAATTCCTCAATTCTGATGAAAGATATCACATGATCAGACTGACAGAGATTATCTCGGTAGCGCAGCATTATTTCAAGTACTTGTAAAAAAATTATTGAGTCAATCCTCACCTCCTATCCCGTTTTGTCTCGCGGCTCCCATAATTATTAATGAATCAACTAATATATCTAATTAATTAAATACTATACGTTGCTACTCCGACTGGAAATCTCAAAAAAAAAACTCACTCAAACTCATCATTCGGAAATGATGGCGGGAGATTTAGAGAGATCGATTTCGATCTTCCGTAGTCGCTAAGAACCTCGGGAGACTGGAAATTTTCATCTCAGGAGATTGGAATATTTCTGGCCGCAATCAGTGTGAATCGGTGTAAACTTTCAGAGCGTTCGACATACTCGAGTCACTTGACCAGATACTGAAATGTCGAGTGACAAACGAGAAGCTGAGGGAAAAGAGGAATAAATAAATTTTGTAGCAGAACAAAAAAATTCACCAGAGGGATAAAAA